GAAATGAATGGCTCTAAATTAATTGGATAGAAACAGCATGTTCTCACATAGTACGGTTTCCATAGCACAATTTGAATTACATGGGTATTCAGTTAGGAGTACCAGAGAGTTTGCACTTATTTCTCTTCTAACATCTCTCTGTGAACAGGCTTGCTTATGAGGCTTGGCAGGAAACAGACATATCCCTCCCAACAGCATGGTTCCTTCCCCTTCACAGAGCAAGGCTTCACTCCAATGACCTCAGATATTTGTCGAACACAAAATGAGTCCTCAGAGGGAGATGGTTAGACTAAAGCACCAAGGAGATTTGAGGCACCCTTCTGAAAGGTGAGAGAATGGAGTGAAGAAAAGACACTTGGGCGACCTACATACAGCAGAGGTTGTGTGGGTTCTCAGTTTGTAAGATCCTACCTTGACTTCCAGAGAGGCAGCTCAGAGGTGGGGCATCTTGTGCATTTGGCTTCATTCATTCATTCATTCATTCATTCATTCATTCATTCAGATGACTTTTGATAGCAGAGTGCTAACAACTAGGAGGGCACTGCTCAAAGGAGCTGTGCTTTACTCTAGATCAACACTGTCCTCAGAGCCCTAGGAATTTCAGACAACAGTTGGCTCCTGCATAAATAGGGTGAAAGGGTGCTTGGAGACATGGCAAGCTCAGGAGTGAACAGCAGTGAACACGAAAACTCATAATCCTGTAGAGAGATCCTGGCTACCGTGTGGGAGCAGCTGGGCTGCCTTTTGTTGAATGCGGTTTGCCAGAAATCAATTAGCCGCAGGTGGGAACAATGGTCTCTCTTTCTTCAAGGAAGTTAGTTCAAAGTTTTTGCTTCATTGGGTTCCTACACACAATTTGTAATAGAAATGTAAATCCTCTGGGCCTCTTACTAGCATTTTCTCTAGAACTCAACACTGAGGTCTCGGCTCAAATGTCATCTCCTTGGAGAGGACTTCCCTGATGACCCAACTTAAAGGAGCCAACTAAACTCTTACTTTATTTTCCCATTTTGCTTTTCATTCTTTACTGCTTTAAGACTAACCTTGATAGTAATTTAAACCTGGTTCCCTTCATTTTAACATAGTAGATGGTGAAAGACACTGGGATGGAGTCTAACTCACGGATTGCCAACAAATTTTGACATTTGTTCAAATAAGCCCACTTTAGGAAGGCCAAATTGCCATGAAAATGTTATCAAGCATTTGAGAAAGAAAAAAAAACCCAAGAAATAAACAAAAGCAGTTGCCCTGGTATCCATTCATTTGTGGGGAAAATGAACAATCACTTCCCATCACAATTTCTGTACTTAATGCCAAGCCCCCAATTCCTCCAATCACACAGAAACAAGAGGTGGTGGAATTACGTAAACAAGGGCAATTTTGTTACCCTTTCATGGGCTGCAGACTGGTGTCCTAACCATCGAAGAGCCAAGGGAAGAGGAGGAACGTGGGAGAAAAAAGTATTACCAGGGCAAGTGGCACCAAGGTTCTAGCCATGAGCACCATGGACAGAGTCCCTGTGCTCAACTTCCCAATCTTTAAACAGCAGCTAGGGACTGCTTTAACCTAACACCAAAGAAGATGCCCAGAAGCCCAAGGTGGAAAGTAAAATTGATGCAGAAGAAAATAGATCATATCTAGCAAGCCGTAGCTCTTACTGTCCAGGGGCCTTTCAAAACAGAACAGGCATGTTGGAGGTGTGGTTCCAGAATGCTATAAAAGAGATGTTTGGATGAGAAAGAGAAAGGAGTTGGAACAGACATATTTTATGAGGTGTCTTAAACCCACAGTCGCCATCACGAATTGAAGCAATATATAAAAATATTACTTTTGGAGATGATTTGGGGGACCTGGAGCTCACCTACACTGTGAGAGTGTGAGGGGTACAGTCTTTCTGGAGGGTTGCCACAATGTATCCAAAATCTTAAATGTTGGTAATTCTCCACCCCACCAACCACAAAACTGTGCATTTTGAACCAGTCATTGCATTCTAAATTTAAAAATTATAGAAAACAGGGATTTAGTAGTCAAGATGTGTTCACAGTACAATTTATTATTTTAATTTGACCCAACAATGGGATTGTAAGGAACCAGCTATGTGCGCCATTATTTGTGTTTGCATACGACTCTGTATAGAAGTGCACTTGTAGGAAACGGATAGAAAGGCAAATAATTCCTGTCCATAGAAATATATATTGTGTCTGCGGGAATGCAATTGACTATTTCACTGTGGATATTGATCAGTTTTGCATTCATTTGTAAATTTATCTTAGTATACTTTATACTCAAAATGTGAGATACTTTGAGGTCTTTTTGAACTAGTTGTAATACTTTATAAGTTCTTTATGAATTGATGAGATAAAATCTTTGACATGTGTTCATTCAAAATTTGTATGGGAATCAGAATTTTATACTCTTTAAGATGTATCCTTTAATATGGCAATTGCTTAAATAAATTATGGTACATTCATATAATGAAATGCTACATAGCCTTAAAAGTTGTTGCTACAAAAGAATATTTATTGACACAGAACAAGGCAAGTTGCAGAACTATATGCCCAGTATGAGTTACATGCACAGTATGAGTTTACCTTCTATAAAAATGTAAATAAAAATGTAGGTATATATGTACATATATATGTATATGTGAACGCATATCTGTATGTATGGATAGATGGCATTCAGGAACACTACCCCAAAATATGTCAACTTGTGATGGAATGATATACATCAAGGTAATAACAGGGATTATTTTGGGGGATGAAACCGTATTTAATTCTTCTATATGCTTAAAAGTATTTTCTCATTTTTCTAGAATAAATTATACCTACATGAGGAAAATGCATTTTTAAAAATTGGGAGTGGAGGGGTGCCTGGGTGGCTCAGTCGTTGGGTGTCTGCCTTCGGCTCAGGTCATGATCCCAGCATCCTGGGATCGAGCCCCGCATCAGGTTCCCTGCTCCGTGGGAAGCCTGCTTCTCCCTCTCCCACTCCCCCTGCTTGTGTTCCTCTCTCGCTGTGTCTCTCTGTCAAATAAATAAATAAAATCTTAAAAAAAAATAAAAACTGCAGTGGATAAGCAAGAACATTTTAATCTTGTACTAATTTATTTTCAGAATTAAAAACTCAATCCCTCATATAAATTAGGTCAGGACAGTCCTGTTTTCTGCCTGTTGTCTCCACACGAATAATGGGGCCCCTTTCATTCTCAAAACTGTCTCTAGTTTGAAAGAAAAAAATTATGGTCATTTTACTTCTGTGACATAAAATCCCAAGATTTGAAACTTCTGCCTAAGTGCATGAAGTAAGCAGTATAAAGGGAAGCTAGACTACCTGGGAGCAATTGCATAATTCACCTTGTTTGAAATCTGAATTCCATCGAATCCAGAAAGCTATTCTTGCAAAAAACAAAGGATGCTTGCCTTCACAGATTGCACAATTGAATTTCAAGCTGATGTAATTGTCCGAGTGAATGGGGAAGATGATTACAGCATTTCTTGCCATTTACATTTACCATAGGGCTAAAAAGTCCTCGAGTCAATTGAATAAGGGAAAGTGTTTCAGAGGAAGAATATCTATAAGAATTGCTTATTAAAAGCAAATAAAAGGAAATTTTTTTTCCTCTGTAAATTTTACATAACTTCCACCAACTTACAGATTTTAAGATAAAGCAGAGGCATCAGATTTAAAGCAGCATTTATCTTGTCTGCAAGTTTATGAGAGTGATGCCTTTACAAATCCACTGCGAGCCCCATCTAAGGCTCTCCCCGTGGGGAACCAGCCGGTTCAGAAAGTGAGCTTTTCAAATGTAAAGTAGGTTTTTTTTTTTTCCCCCTGCCTTCTTCCCTCTGAAAGCAGACAACTTAAAGTCTTAAAAATTCAACCCTGAATTGTTACAAGGGCATTTCTAAGGGTTGAGTACAGTTTGGGCCTCAGGCCATGGTCTTTATTCAGGCCAAAGCCTCGGGAGATGGATTTTTATAAGCTCAGAGTTCTATATTTTCCTGAATCCTCTTTCACCCTATTAATATAATACCGGGATCAGATAGGGAATCTTTGACTTAATCTCAGAGATAGTGGAGTTGGTCTGATCCTCTGTACTTTCCAAGCTCAACGTGGGAAAAATAACTTCATAATAAGGTAGAACCTCCTTTTCATTCATGTATTTTGCTATAAAGGCAGCACAAAGGTTCCCTGATTTTTTTAAAGAGCAAGATTCTAACATTATCAGTTTCTCATATCATTTAGTTTGCAGACAACTCAGAGAGTCAAAGATCTATCTTAGGTTTCCTAATGAAAAGAAAAGGAAAGGAGAAAAGGGGAAGCAAATAAAGAAAGGAAAAGGAAAAAAAAAAAGAGGGAAAAAAGAGGGCACACAGCTAACTGAACTACTAGGCAAAATAACTAAGGCATGCTGAGAACTTTTTTCCTACGTGCTAATGAGTTACCAATGCTCCAATAAACCTCAGGAATTTCAACCAGAAGTATAGTTTTGCCCGCACTACGATTTTCTTTGGCTGGATTTGAATAAATGAAGACAGGTTGAAAGACAGGGGAATCCTAACAAGTGGGAAAGGATTTGCTGCGACTCAGAAGTGCCACCCCCAGGAGAGACTGAATCATTTTATTGAGGGCCAGCTGGTGTTGAGGGCCAGCTGGTGTCGAGAGCAGCCCATCTCCCACTGAACCTGTGAGTGGGCATCAAGTTCTAAGTGATGCTGTTTCATTATTGCTTAAGTTAAGGAGAGTCACGCACACTGAAGCAATCAGATCCAGTATCAAATTCTTTGGTAAGCGCAGATCAATGACTCAACAGAATGTGAGTTAAATACATTACGTTGTGGTCCCAGTGGAACTGGGCACTAGGAATTTATGCTGTTATTCTTGAAATAGCTCTGTGTCTGACAAGAGACAGCGCTCTTGAGTAGGTGTCTTCCCCAGTGGAGCGGGCACATGATTTATATGCCAGAAGGAGAGGAGTTTCTCTCTTGTCTGGAACAAAGATTATTTTTAACTCTCAGTTGAGAAAATTCTGTTTTCTGGCTCAGACACCTTTTAGATTAATATGCTTCCTAAAATTGAAATGACTCATCAGGATCTGTACTTTGAATGGGCTGTGGGCTTGGTTCACACATCGCTCTTCAGAGAGCCGTTTGATCTCAGCCTCCGGAGAAGTCCCTCAGCTACCCACATGGATAATAGGGGAAACCTGATGTAGGAGCTGTCAAGGACAAACCCCAAGCCGAGCAAAGTGTAAACTCTGTTATCACTGAAGAAAGGCTTTGTGAGTAAAAGGTGAAATAATACAGACAAAACTCAGCTTCTTTCTGTTGTTTCTTTTATTTGCGCAGAAAACCGACTTCATGAATTGGTTATAGTTTCTCCCAGGCCTCTTTTTTTTTTTTTTCCTTATCTAGGGGAAGGGGTTTGGCATTAATTGGAACACTTGTCAGTCTCAGCAAAGATGGAGAGGGAGAAAGAAAAGGAAACAAAAACAGGCTCTCAGACTGCGAATGCGCCATTTGACAGAAAAGCATTTTCAGCGTTGGCATTTCGAGGAAGGAGAGAGAAGAGAGGTAACATTCACGTGCCTGCCTTGTGCAGGGTGTTGGTACATAAATTATCTCATTTAACAGATTTTGCTCAGTGATAGAGAGCGGGGACAGTGAACAAATCTCAACTTGTACACCTCAGGAGAAAATGAGATCTTTCCAAAAGGCAGCTGGTTGAGATGGAAGGAGAGAGACAGCCGGACAGAAATAATGGGATTGATATGGGAAAAGGGGGGGATGTCTGGAGGGAAATGGGAGTCTATAGAAAATATGTGCCCATGCCAGTGTTAGCAGATAGTCCCCAGCCCTGGGAAGCTGGCTTTGGTTCAAGTTGTCTAGGAAACTTGTCATAAGCCCTTAGCAGTTCACCAGACAGGAAAAGTTGTACCTTTATTTGGGTTGTGGGGAGAGTTCTCCGAGTTCTTCATGTCCCCCAAGACAGACCACTGTGGCCTCCTTTAGAGGATGCGGGCTGCCCGCCTCAGTCACCTCTCTATCCCTAGCACCTAGCTTGGTACCTTTGCCAATGACAGCAACTCAACAAGTGTTTATCGGATTAATGCACGAACAGTTAAAATGCGTACTTAGCATCTGAAAACCAGGCAGACTCTTTCACAGTAAATTTAGTTCATATGGAATACTTCTATTTTTGTAGGAATAGTTAAAAAAGAGAAAGCTGGAGACTGGTAAAAAGAGTGATGTCGATGGTCCAACAGGAAGAGGCCTTTGCAAAGCAGCTTCGGGCACTGGGTAAGAAGAGAAAGGGAGCTGGAACAGAGTATATTTTGATGCCCTGGAACTGTACTCCTGAGAATGATCTGGATTTAAATAAGAGGGGCTGCTGCGCTTGTATTTACATTCACATATTTCTGTGTTGGGCTTGGGAGTACAATGGAATAGGAATTCTTTCTCCTCTCCTGGAGCTCAGATTCTTGATGGGGAGAGTATCATTAAACATGCATTGAAAGTAACTCCAGGTATAGCCCGGGCATATGGTGGTGGTGATGGTGGTGGTGGAGGTGTGTGCACGTGTGTGCGTCTGGAAAGCAATTCTGGCTCTGGATAAGGTGACTCGGGGAGGGGCCAAGAAGGCCATGTGACTATATCCTCTGGTTTCTGTCCCCTGGCATGAGACCGCTGAGGATAAAACTTATGCCGATAGACATTATATCCTGCAGATGAGTGGCAGAATAAAGTTGTCATGTTAACACATCAAATCCTTGTAGGTGGAGAGGGGGATAAAGCAGAGTTGAATACAAATTAAATGGTATGGGTTTTTGCAGGGGAGGGAGTCAGGATTTGAATCTATTCATTCTAGACATATGTGTTGAGTCCTAATACATGCTAGACACTGTGTTTGTCATAATGAACAAAAGAGACCCTATCTTTGACATCACAGAGCTTAAAACATACAAACTCAGAGCGGGGTTCACAAACTCAAATGCCCACCAAAATAAGTAGCTGATAGATTGTGGCTGGAGGGAAGGTGCCTATCTTGCTTAGGTGGCGAGCCACAGTTCACTTCTTGGGACTGAAACCAGTGACCAAAGGGTTAATGGGGGTCCTAAGGCCGGAAGCAGACTAATAAGTACCACTGAAACTTTTTACTTAGACCTCTTTCTGTTGGCCTTTAAATATTCCTGACTCTCCTCCTTCAGGAAGGCAGACTTGAGGTTTGCTCTCCTCTCCTCCTTTGGTGGCCTCTTGAATACACCCTTTCCTTGCTCTATACTCAGTGTCTCAGTGACTGACTTCACTGCATGCTGGGCAGACAAATATGAGTTCAATTATAAATTTGGTGAGCCAGCCAAGAGCTCTTTGCCTGTGTTTCATCTATGCCAGCTGGTAATGGGAGTCCCGTGACGAGTCCAAGCAACTGCCTAGGCTCTTTGTCCCAGGGACTGTCCCTAGGGCCCCACTCTGACTGGATGCCACCAACTCTTGGGGCTTAATTTAACTCTTTTGGCAAGGAAATGGGTTTGGGTTTGGGTTTGGCCAGATGTCTCTTGACATTTGAGTGCTTCACGTGTAAAGGCATGTATTTCTTTTTCCCATTTGCCTTGGCTCTCTCAGATTTCTTCCTCCCATTCAGTTGCCTCCAAATAAGGAAGTTTGGTTCCCTTATCCTCCTTTTCTGGCTTGATTAAGAAAAGGTTGGCTAAGAAGCTGTTTGGTTCAGTTGGCAAAGCTCTGACTTTTAGAGAGGAACTAGAAACTAGGAAGAGATTTGGTTCAGTCGGTGAAGCCCCAACTTTTGGGGAGGAACTGATCCTCACAAGAGGTACTTTGGGCTTCATTTCGTTTGTTGCTGCAGCTTTTGAGTAAAACTGACTGTTCTACTGGAAAATGGGAAATGACAAATCAAGTTCCACGTGCAGCCCTTTGGTCTATATTCTCCAAAATTGGGCCACGTTTAGTTACGAACCTATGAAAAGGAAAAAAAGTGATCTTTTTTGGCTAACACTGGTTGGCCAAAATACTCATTAGACTCTGGAGAAAAATGACTAATTAACAGATTCATAAATCATAATACCATCCTGCATTATATTTGTTTTATAAAAGGGAGATATTTGGAAATTGAGCCTTTAATATCCTCCCCACAAATATTAGTAAAACAAAGGCCATAAGATTTTGCTTGCTTCTTGTTTGTGTATTTGTATGTGTGTCCATGTACGTTGTAAATGTGAGACATTTTCTCTACCTCTGGATGGTATCATTAAAATTAATTTGTAAAAGTTCTATTTAGTTGGTTTAAAGGCAAGCACTTGTAAGAACTGGGCATTCTAAAATTCAGAAAAATGGAAACTAACCCAAGTGTTTTTCAAGTTCATATGATCTGGGAAAATATTTTATATTAAAGCCAATTTAAGGTTGTGGGCTTAATTAATTAAAATGAGTATTTTTAAAGTTGTCAGCATTAGATGTAGAACTCTTCTGTCTCTATTTACTAAAAGTCAGGAAAGTTTGTGTTATCTCCATTACAAAATTTGTCAGAAAAGAAAAAAAATCATATGGCACTTGTCTTTCTAGCACCAATCTGTCCTTTGTATTTATGAGTCTGTTTCTACTTTGTTCATTTGTTTTGTTTTTTTAGGGAAAAAATTTTAGGAAGAATTCTAATAAATGTAATTAAAACTATTGGAAATAACTCCATATGCAAGGAAAGTTAGACTAATCATTTGAAGTGGGAAAACTCAGGACAAAATCTAAATGTAAAAAGGAAAGTTGTAGAAGATTTGTGAGAAAGGAATTTTGGGAAAGGAATTTTGTGCATGGTCCGGACTAAGATTATGAAGATTAGTATGGACAGAAGCTTATTAGAGAGTGATCACCACCAGGGGAAGAGAAGGGAGAGTAAGAAAGAGAGATTAGGCAAAAGTTGAGCAAGGATATAATATCAACAGAAGCCTTAGCTGATTCTCTGAAAAGTTCCAAAGGTTAGATTACCTTTTAGGACCATCAGAAATTGGGGCAAAAGGTCTAGACTTTTACACCCTCATATTGAACAGTCCTTGGATGCGACCATCTGGGAAGAGGGAATGACCTTGGCAAGGTGATCCCTAATGGCATCTGAGACATGAGAGCTGTTGGCAGAATCCCTACAGCTAAGATCCCTCTTTTCTGATGGGGATTCTGGTCAGCACATCATAGCATTACCACAAGAACTCAGATCCAGGTGGTGCCCTGTATGTCTTTGTCTCAGTAAGTATATGATAGGGAGGAAAAAAGGAGGAACTGCATAATTTTTTAAAAATTCATCTTATTGGAATGAATGAGTTTTAATATTTTACACCAAATAATTTTACACCAGTGTAAGACCAGAATTTGATTTTCTATCTGTAACCCTATTTATGTGCTTTAAAACTTTCTGATATTTCTGACAACCTTCCCAAATTCAACTTCTAAGTGAAATCTTTTTGAATAATCAGGCTTTATTTATTTGGTATGTCAAATTATATGGAAAGCACTGTCAAAGAAGTGATGATAAACTTTTCTTAGTTATATTTTATGGGTGAATGCTCTGTTCCAGAAATTATATAAAATTCCTAAGGTTTTGATATATCCTGGTTTATTGCCCTCATTTGTAATTCTAATTATTGAAGTGACACAGAATTTCCTTGTCAACTGCACTGTAATGACAAATACAGGTCTCTAATACCTTTACGATCTTCAAACTAAGAATTTTTGGAACTAATGGGAAAACTGCATTCAAATAGAGCTAGAATCAGTAACATGAGACTGAATGAACTGCAGAAGATGATTATAATTTTTTATGACTCGTGTTTGAAATACTCCTGGTTCTCTAATGTTTGCTCTTCAAGATTTGAGGAAACTTTTTCTCTTAAGCTCTCCATGACTTAAATATTCCTTTGTAAACAAATATGAAACATTTATTTTTTTCTCGCTACCTGATCCCTCCAGAGTTCAGAAACTCTCTGAGTAACCTTATATTTTCATGGCAATGTATTTATTTGCACAAGTTCAGTGAGAATCTATTTTCCTTACACCACAAGTGGAAACGGGTTCTATTACCAAGAGCTTTGACTGCAATGTCCTATTTGAGGGAGACATGCACAGAATCAGATATGACCGGACAGCTTTAAGGAACTAAGCTTGACTTTATGGAGTCATTGAAGCCCCTCGGGAAAACTGGCCTGGTATCTTGCTTACAGCGTAAGCTGTAGCTTTACCAGGTGAGTAAAAAAAAAAAGTCCCTTTCTGGCAGGTGCAGGAACCTCAGGATATTCTGGGGAACTCAAAAAGAGAAGAATTACCCAAATCTAAAGGTTTTGTAGGTGAAGTCTGATGGCAAGTATTTGGCTTAGCTTCTTAGCCTTGAGCTGTTAAAAGTTCAATCCAAAATATCTTATGAAAAGTTCCAGCAAAGCAGATAAAAAAAACCAAACAAACAACCGATACGGTCAATCACTATTCTTGCCACATTTATATAAATATTAGGCCAAGTTTGTTAAGACTGGACTTATTTTATAAATGAATCAGTATTAATTTGGCTATCCTTGGTGGAAATGAGGGTGATTTTAGAGAGATTATGTTTCGGTAACCCCTTTTGTGAATGTTAGATTCTACCCCTGATCAGCTATCTTTGAGTATTTATTGTTCACCTATAAAACTGGGCTGGACCCTGAATTTTTCTGATTTCCTCAAATATCTGGCTATGAGTCTCCAACTAAGGTTTCTAATTTTCTCCCAGTCTTGGGAAGTAAAACTGTTCTTTTTTCCCAAAGCCCTGCAAACTGAAGCCAGAGAACTTGAGGTAAACTTCAGAGAAGATTGCCAAAATAGCTCATGTTTGCCTGTTGCTGTATGGGCCACTCAAAAAGATCACCACCACAAGTTTATTCCAGCTGTTTTGATTTGATGGATCTGCCATTGGAAAATCCAGATCTTGAGCTGGTCTGGACAGGAGTTGTTTTATGGATCAAGGACAAGAAATTGCTGGATGCAGTGGTGACCCATTAGCTACTGTCCACTGCTGAGGATATCAGAAATTGGACTGTTTGCTCAAGGGAACAGTTGGGACCCACAGTACAAAGACTCTAAAGCCCTCTGGAATGGCTTTCGTACCAGACACTGAAAAGAGCTAAAGAAAGGGGATTTGGACACCATGTTGGCACTAAAGTTGGCTGGAAATATAATGAACAAGAAATAATCCTTATTCCAGAGCATCTTACAGAAAAAAATAACTAGTCATATTCACCAAAGCACCCATTATAGGTAAGACACCACTCTTCA